AGAAAAAGGAGGGCAGGCATTGCAGGTTGTGGGTTTTGTTGCTCCATGCCCGCAAAGCTTGGCTCAGTGCCCAGCCAGCACCCATGAAGCTCAAACCCAGAGGAAAGCCCATTTTCTAGCCCTAAAACCCTTTCCTGTCTCTCAACTCGTAATGAAGCTGGGGCCACAACCACAACAACAAAGTGACTTTGGCACTTGGGACTTAATGACTTTGAACAACAACCATTATTACTGATTGGCACTAGTCCCTAAGGGAATGATGACACAGCAGCAGCATCATCAGTAGCAACAGCAATGAGCTCACAGTCCCTCCTCCCCTCCTGTAGAGAAATTTATATTTAAAAAAAAAACAGTGGAGAAGAGATAGCAAAAAGAAAAAACAACACAACACAACAATAATAAAAAAACACCAACAAATCTAGCCCCTACTCAAAGTGTTCATGGTGTTGGCTCCTCCACTCATATTGTTGACATGGTTCTTTTTCTTTTTCTTTTTCTGTCCCCTTTCTTTTGGCTTTTTTACTTCATTCCTGTGATGACAGTGTGTGTTTCTGAGCATGATTTTGATCATGTTGCAATGTTTGCACATACCCACTAAAAGTAACAGTAATAATTAGCTATAATTGTGATTATCTAAATCAAAATAAATATACACTATTTATTTATTTATTTTGAATGTAGCATGATTTGTATCTTGTAGCAAAAATACTGAAATGTGCTTCAAAAAATAAAGGAAGAGAAAATAAAAATAAATAAATAAATAAAAAATCCCAGATATAGGTTTAAATGCATGACTTTGTTGAATTTAAGAATAGTTGTATATTCTTAATCTGTCGTTTTTAAAATTCCATGTTTACGCTTGTTTATTTTTCAAGTTTGTGTTTCTTTCTCTCATGGCTGGCAACTTTATCATGAAAAAGACAGTTATTATTTCAAGAATTGAGTTATTATCAATTCATGTCTTTCAGGATAAAAAAGCACACTATTCTAGCACATTCACCAATTACACAGAGAGAAAGAAAGGAAAGATAAAAAAAAGACTAAAAATTGTAGGGAATTACTTGAGATTTCTTCAAGGTCCAACTGGCAAAGTGACTCATGATTTTTTTTTTAAAAAAAAGAAAAGAAAAGAAAAAGCAACGGGGTCCAAATGATCTCTCAATGAGGGAAGGCAGGGGGGGGGACTAGGAGTAGGACGAGAGGGGTTTCTGTTCTGGTAGTGTGAAAAGGGTCCGAACCCAGGTAAAATGTATATATATATATATAATAGTAATTTATTTGTTTACTTTTATTAACCCAGGGGTAAAGGTAAAAAGGGGGAGAGGAAGGCAATCACGGCATGAAGAACGAGTCAAGAGAGATCTACCCAGCACTGCATTCCCCCACAACTCCGAGGGGTCCACTTGGATTGGCCCTCCCTCCTCTTCCCGGTTTGACTATATCCAGCCCTACCCCCCCCCCCTTTGCATCTACTCCAAATAATAGCCCTGGTGTTCCCCTCACGGCTTTAGGGGAGGTCCCCTTCCCTCCACCGTGGATATATGCGCCGCTGTCCAGTGACCTGGCGCAACCCGATTGGCTCGCGACATGACAAGTGGATAAGCCAACTCAGCTCGAATAAAATCCCACGGAAGAAGAAAAGGAAAGAAATAACAACAACAACAACAACCAACGCATGCTTTTTGTTTTTATTTTTATATAATTGACGTAAATCCAACAGTTTCATGTCATCTTGTTTTAGAAACATGTGTTTAACAAATGGAAAAATCTCTCCACCTAATTAAAGTGGATGTGGATTGTCAAGGTTTATTATTTGGGCACTTTCTGAAGGGTAAAATTTCCTATCGCCAATCATTCTTAATGATGTTTTCCAACTGTGTGGAGTTCAAGAGTTGGGTCGGCGGAGCCATTGTCAATGTAGAGGGGGGGAAAAAAGGGTGTTGTTGTTTTTGGTTTCATGGAATGGGGGGAATTATTAGTATGTGAGAAATGGGGAACTCGGCTTGAGAACGAAGTGCCCACAATTATGGGTGGCGTTCCCATGACTGATTTAGGGGGTGGGGGTGGGGGTGGGGGGTGGGAGGCATGTATTGTTTGTTTTTTAGGTGACTCTCTTCTCTTTCTCCTCTTCGCCCAGAATTCGTCCACACAGAGAAAGAATGTGAGTGCTGGACCCACTGAGAGAGAGAGGAAGTGGCCAATGTGACCCACCCGTGATTTTTGGGTCACCCGGTCCGTTCCTCATGCCCCACAGTGGCTGCCTGCTCTCCTCGTGCTCTGCCAGCGTCAGCCCCTCACGAGGGGGGGGACAGAGAGAGAGAGAGATCTGAGACAAGAGAGGAAGCCACACCATTTCCTGCATTGGACATCACTTCACCCCTTGTAATATAACCCCTCGTTTCATTCGTTTTTATTAAATTTTCGAAAAAACCACCAAAAAAAAAAAAAAAAAAAAAAAAAAACACTCCAAAACACTCAGAAGACCAATTCTCTCCGCAGATACGCAGGAGTTGCTGTAATCTAGGCCGATCATTTGTATTTATTTGTTTGTTTTATTTTGTGGGTAGTGGTGGTTTTGGGGTGAAAGAATTCGGGCTACAGTTGTGCTGCTTATTGTGTATAAAAGAGTGGAATCTGGTGATACCTCCACAGGATTATGCCTGGGAACATTATTTCAAGTTAGCATTTTTGAGTGCATGGAATCTGCGGCATCTTCCCTGCTTCTCGGTTCAATCTTCTGTCAAACATTAGATTTGATGATTCCATCATGTAGCAATTACATTATACAAGAAACAGATTCATGTAACACAGTTATGGTGTAATACCATACTCCATAGATGCAAACTGTGGTGGCAAAAATTAAATTTTTACAAAAACACTCCAAACAAACAGTCGACCTCAATCATAGTTTTTGTGAATAATGAAAAAAAATTATAATTATCAAAAGTAATGGCCTTAATCAACTGTTGAAACCAGGTTTGGATTCATTGTTTGGGGTGAGGGCCACAATTTTTAGTTTTTGCATTTATGAATTCATATGATAATTGATAAAGGCTTAGCATATAAATGAACTTTAAATACTCCTATTCCTAAACTAAGAATATCAGAGTAATTGTTTTATAGAATTTTAAAATTAAAATGAGGCCTGGAGTTAGAATTTGTGTTGGTTGGGCATTAATAGTAATGTCTTTATATGCATAATATTTTATATTATTTTCTTAAAACTTTCAATGATATTTCTTTAGAAACTATGCACGTTTTTTTTTTTTTTTTTTTTTTTTTTTGAATAATTGTATCTTCTAATGCAAAGTGTTTTCAGATTGTCATTGCATTTGGCTTTCTCTTTGTATCTTATTGATTATTTTTCATTATAATAGTAGTAAAAAATATCTAACGTGTATAGCTTATGATTAATTTTGTGTGTACATACATCTTTACTCTCAAGACGTTTAAAATATACTTTTAAAATATATGCATTCAACAAATATTCTAAGGTGTCTAATATGTGTTTTATTTTATTTTCAAATATATTAATAGCACTTTTCAAATTTTGAAACTAATCTATTTCAAACCGACCTTCTTATTTTGGTATGTAAAATATGAAAATATTACAACTTTAATCTATTTAGTTTAACCAAGTGATATCTTAAAAAAATTGCACAATTCAAATGAATGTCATGTCAAAGGAATGAAAAAGAACACTGAAAACACTTAGAATTTGTATACAAACAATATATTGCATAAGTATATTCATTTCTGAAACTGATTAAATTTATTATAATTTCAATATAGAAACATATACTCTACATACTTCTTAATTTTAATGTTAAACCCTATTTTTTTTTTCTTTTTTTTTTCTTTTTTTTTTCTTTTTTTTTTCTGTTTGATATTCAAAATTTTATATTTTTGAATAATAGCATTCACATAAAATGAAAAGAATACCTTATAACCATGGTATCTCCATATAATATTACTATGCTGAACTTCACTTCTTTTTATAACAAATATATTGCCAATGTAAAGAATAATTATTTGTGAATAATTGTTTCATGCTTTTATAATTCAGAAACTAGGTACAAATTTAACATTATGAATCAACAAAAACTTAACAGATCTATTCCGATCTAGCATTCCAAAATCAAAGTAAGATTGGTATTGAATTCGAATTAATTTGAAAAATAAAAAAGTACATGAAATCAGATTTAATTTGATCAAACTTAGTTGCCAGCTAATATAAAAGATCAAAGCATCTATATTCACACGACCACTTACATAATTAACACATTTTATTCTCATTCATTTCAGAAGGCTATTCATCTATTTATTTTACTAATTTATATTTACATAGTAACAATTTTTTTTCTAACAAGAGCAAATATAGATTCATGTAAAAACAAACTGCTTCAATCCCAAATATAAGTTACTTTTAACATGTTCTAAAATCCAAATAAAAAATAAAAAATAAGAATAACAATAATAAAGATTTCATACAATTCCATATCAAGTGTTCAGAAAAGTTGAGAATGGTGGGTAAAGAAGAGAAACGAAGGATATGAATATATTCATAGAAGAGAGGAGACGAGACGAGAGGAAAGGAGTAAACTGAAAGCTGGGCTGCTGGCTACCACAGAAGATCAAATGTATTATGCATGTGTGTGTGTTTGTGGAGGGGGGGGGGGATTTGGGAACGGAAGGGGAACGAGAGAGAGAACGAGAGAGAGAGCAATAATAAATGATAACACACACCCCCTCCCCTTTCCCCTCCCCAATGGTGTGTGTGTGTGCAGGCTTTGGCTCACTCGTCAGAAGCCCAGCAGCAGTGACACACGGGTGGGTAGTAAGTAGCAGTAGTATAAGCAGGACGGGACGGACGACGCTTTGATTCGCTACCCTACTCCACCCTTTCCTTTTCCTTTCTGGCTTTCTGGCTTTATGTTTTTTTTTTTTTGAAATTTCAGTGTTTTTTTTTGCTTCTTTCCCTCCCGATGCGTCCATTTCAGTGGTTTATTATTATTAGTTTTGACCTCGTTCGTTCCCCGACCCCTGCTGCCCGATGATGCGGGGAGAATGAAACCCCTCTAAATAATGGAGCTCGCTCGCTGCCCGTCGATCAGCGATCGCGAAGCAAGCAAACAAGCACTCTTGCGAAGGATTCCCTCTCTCGCTCTCTCTCGATCTCGCGCAGTGTTCGGGACTGCGCCCGCATCACCCGCCACACGCTCCTCCTCCTCCCCGACCAGCATCCATCCGGCTCTTTTCTATGCAATCCCTTCCTTCCCCGACCTTCTTCTTCTTATTCTGCGTGTGTGAGTGTGTGTGTGAGTGTGTGTGTGTGTGTTTTTTTTTTTTTTTTTTTTTTTTTTTGTCTTTCTTTTCCCTCCCTTCACACGCTGTCATCACTACCCCTTTCCCTCTCTCCCTGCTCACGCACACCGTCGTCGGCATCTTTATCAGCTGCAATCCCCAGGCCTCGCGCTTGTCTAGATCCGAACAACCACCACCATCCTTCGGCTGCGCATACAAAGAGTGGGTTTTACTTGGCCTCGTTCGTGTGTTCTACTTCTGGTGCGGTCGTGCGCATGAGTTGAACCGCGGCTGGGACTTCGGGCGATCCACCCATGACAGATTCTGGGGGCTTTCTCTTGCGCAGATGGCGCTATTCTGGTTTCCGTGGGGGAGGATTGCGACGTGAACGCTGGGTGGAAAGAGGTCCGGTAACCATGAAGATGATCGCTGGTGAAAGGTGAGGGGTGAGGGGAGGTGCCTAGGAAGAGGAAAAAATATTGGGGGAAAAGAAAAGGGGGAACCAGCAAATCGGGGTTGGGTTTCGGTTGGGTTGGTTTCGCGTTGGATCAGAGGAACGTTACAGTAGTGATGGTGGCGGGATGAGGATGAGGAGGAGGAGATCATGGGCTTGGTGACCAAGTTGGTGACGACGATTCGCAGGAGAGGTGTCTAAGTTATATCAAGGTATGATATGGTATGCTAGAATATCCTTAAATTTTCAATTCTGCCGAGCAATTGTTAAATAAAGAGAGACTGTGGGGAAAGTGGGGTTATAAAATATTTGTTTGGGGAGGGGGAGGGGGTGTGTGTGTGTTTATTTGTTGAGATGGGGTTGCGGGGTCTGATCTCCGCAAGTGAGTCCCTAGTTTTGCATACTGCATCGGTGGTTTTTGAGAGGGATCCTCGTGGGCGTTTGGTGAAGGTCTGAGTTGGAATTGACGACGCAGCTGGTGCAAAATCATTAGAAGCGAGTAGGAGCCGCCGCTCCAGTAGAATCGTTAGCAGCGGCAGGGAAGGAGAATTGAATGCCGAGTCACTGGCTGCAACGATGGCGGCGATGGGAGGACAGGGAGTAGGAGGCGGAGGAGGGCAGGTAGAGTCCACGGCGCTAGGTATGGCAGGGATGGGACAGGAGTATGGTGGCGGCGAGGGGCAATCTAGTGGGGGCGTGGGTGGTATGGGTAGCATGTCGATGCCCGGGGGCTCAGGAGAGCACCAACAACAGCAAACTCAACAGCAGGTGCCTGCTGCACCCGCTAAAAAGCCTCCACCCAAGCGAACCTCGACGAAAGACAGACACACCAAAGTAGATGGGCGTGGGCGTCGCATTCGCATGCCCGCGACATGCGCAGCGCGAATTTTTCAGCTCACTCGTGAGCTTGGTCACAAATCTGACGGTGAAACAATTGAGTGGTTGCTACAGAAAGCCGAGCAGGCCATTATTGCTGCGACGGGAACTGGAACTATTCCTGCCATTGCATCCTCGATTCAGGGGTCAATACGAAGCTCCGCGAGCATGGCAGTGGCAGCGGCTGGGAGAGCTGGAATGCATGGTAGTCTGGGCTTGTCTGGGCCGGGTGGTGGACCAACAGCGGAAGAGATGCAGAGTCGGATGCAGCAAGAACAGGCCCAGCGGGGCAGGAGTGAGTGGGGGGTGAGTGCAGACGAGCGTGTAATGGATGTTAGTCGGCGGATGAGCCTGGGGCATGGGGACCCAGGGATGAGCCACGACCTGATGGCCGGGTTCCAGCACCAGGACTTGGTTGGGGGACCGTCTGAGGTGGGAGAAGGAATGGAATCTTCAGATAGCAGGATGCGGAAGAGACCAAGGGGCGGACCCTTGCAGAGCCGGATGAAAGAGGATCCGGATCAGCCGGCTAGGCCTGTGCGAACAACTGCTCGACAATCCATGCAACAGCAGGTAGGGCAAGGTCAGCACCAAGGAGGAGGGTCATCGAGCATGATGCCAGCAGCAATGTGGGCCGTGGCCCCCGTAGGTGCAGGCGTGTCTAGTAGCGGAACTATGCCGGGGACGATATGGATGTTGCCTATGAGTGCATCGCAGGGAGGGGCGACGCAAGGAGTGATGCCGGGGCAGTCTGAGCAACAAATCTGGACGTTTCCTGCGGCCTCGGGACAGTACCGAATGACAGCAGCGGCGGGGACGTCGATTCAGTTGGGTCCGGGAGGCAGTGGCGGGAGTGGTCAAGGTAATGCACCCACTTCCAGCAGCAGTGGACAGTCGATGGTGCCATTGGCGGCGTCAGTGCTGCCTAGTGGGGTGGCACTGATGCCGCGGATCAATCTTCAGGGAGGTATGGGACTAGAGCTTCAGGGCAGTCATATGGGTCATCATATGCCGCTTGGGTCTATGTTGTTGCAGCAAGGGGGTCAGCAGATGCCGGGCACTGGGTTAGGCCTTGGTGGTGGTGGTGGTGAGGGGCACTTAGGGATGCTGGCCGCAATGAATGCTTATCGCAACTTGACCCCTGATCATCAGTCCATGGGTGGCTCAGGGCACCAACAGGGCGACAGCGGCGACGATCACACCAGCTCGCATAGCTGATTCCTCCACAGGAGGATGATGATGATGGTGAGGATGACAATGATGATAACTTTCCTGACTCGTGTGTGGAGTAGCTGCGGAGTTTCTTTCTGAGGCTGCAAGTTTTGCTTCGGGCAAGCATTCTCCCCTGCGAGAAGTACAATTATGAGGACCACGTGGGCAGACAATCAGAGGCAGTCATCAGGAGTAACAATGACAACTTTCTCTTGTCTCTTAGATTGAGAATTGTACCAAATAGACCGTCGGTGCCACACGTGGTTGACGTATTGAACGAACAAGAAAAATGATGGCAGAGAGTAGATGTGGGGTATGCATGATGCTGCTGTACAATGGTGCTACATCTGGAAATAGAGCGACACTCGAAGTCCTGCGTATGGAAGTCCCGCCTTTGCTGTGCAATTAAAGGGAATGAAAAAACAATAAGGTGATGAGGTTGCAGTAGCAACTCGCACTGCTGGGTCGTCTGCCTCTGGTCTGCTCCAGAGTGACCAGGGTTCTGCATCCATTACCCCCACTCACACCCCAGGACCCCGTGTTTTTATTAACCATAATTCATCGGATCCAAAGGTTCCAAAAGATAGCCAAACCTTTATAGCTGAAACAGGTTGTTCTCTTAGTGTCAAGTAGGGGTCATTCTTTGTCTACGTCACGGCAGCCGTTGGTGCTGTCGGGACTTAATAATATTCTCTCCCCCCGGGGTCAGGGATTTGCGTACTTGTCCCATCCAGTATGAGCCTTTCTTCCTGCTTGGCCCACTGTGTATTGTGTAGAGTTTGTTTCTTATAAAACAGTGCGCACCCTTCAGGGACGTTCGCTTGGATTTTCAATTTCCTTTTTGCTTGCAGTCCCTTTTCTCTATTATTCTTATTCGTATTATTATCATGTCCGGGTTGTGTTCAGGTCCTCTTCCTCTGGATCTTGTCGATTTAATTCCAATGTCCGATGCACACTTGTAGACCGGGAGCTTGAACGTGTCCTGGCAGTTGTTGGGCGAATGTTGAAAGTGTCAGAATAAATTCCTGGTGTTCTGACGTTGCCTCTCAACATGCCTCTGTTATCACTCTAGTCGTCTAGGGTTTCATGTTCATGCTGGGTGGCTGGCGACACTAGTCCAAGTCTGAGTGCCCATCCCAGCTCTCTCCCGTGCTTGCTAAGCCGCTTCAAGTGTCTATTCCATAATTATCGCATTTTTTAGGAAACTTGTTTCAGTTTGGAAAGTCTGGCATGATATTGCTTCTTGACTTAACTTCGCTGTGTTACGTGACAGAAATGGGAGGAATACTCTCTCCTTAGTCATGGCTTTTGCACTGAACCTTGCAGTGTCTGCTTATGGTCACACAAGATTTGATGTAGCTTAAGGTTACAGTACTAACATGATATTTTTGCGCTTGTGCCTTGGTTGATTTGTGCCCGATTACTGATCACGCGGTTCGACTACAAGATGCTACTCTCACATTGTACTGTCATAACACTCACATGACCGGCTATTCTATATTCAGGGGGATCTTCAGAGATATTCATTTCATTTGCCTTCAGGAGACCTAACGAGGTGAAGAGTTATGCGATGGACGTTCCTGGTCCTGCTCTGGAATGCCACTGCTTCAACACTTACGGCACAGCACTTGCTTTTCGTGGGCGTGAAATTGAGCTCAACTCATCTACAAGCCCTGGCTCAGTATTTAGTGTCTGGGCTAGAGTCTACCATAAGAGAGCGTCATGGTATCTGGCTCAGTATTCTACCACGACTGCACACCGCAAAGTACAAACGCGGCCTGCTGGAAAATGCTCGGGGAGCACCGACCTCCGGTTACAGAATCCCCCAAGTACCTTCTCAAACCCACGATTCTATCGAACATAGAACACCAAATATTGTGATTTTAATTTTAATTTAAAAAATCTCCTAAGTTATACTCCTCAAAAAATTGTCATCGTAAGAACGTTAAGCTTTTAAGTTATAACTGGGATAGAACAGCAGGAGGCTCTTCCCAAAGTTACACCTGGATACTGCTACTGGACCATCAGACTGCAGATTCCAATGATGATCACACAGGGGGTGTTCTTCAAACCAGATGACCTGACTACATTCTTCCTAAACCCATTAAATTCCACACCGGAGCTAACCCCAGTTGAACGTTCAGTTACCATAGCCTCAGAATATGCCCTAACACAATGCTTATCCATTTTCTCCAGACATATCTACAGGGACGCCAGTCATAGCGCACTATGTGCAGGCTTCCCTTACGGTGCATCTTTGTCTCACCTTGATAAGGGAGTGTTAGCTTAACTTCAAATTGCTCCGTGAAGCTCATGTCTACACAGTGAATTCATCTGATTATCTTGTCAGTTCAACTGGGTGTCGATTTGGGGTACCCATGCAGGCTGCCCTGAATTCAACAGGCTGTAGCATGTAAGAGGCGCCCTGCAGTTCCGTGCACCAATGGGTGGATCTCTATTCTAAATTACCTCGCTTTTGTGCGGCGGACAAGGTTTTCCATTTGTGATGAATATTCCTCCGATCGAATCTCGAAGCAGCGACAAAGTCAAGAGATCGACAGAGTGGCTGTGCTATTATTGTCAGAAAGGAGTATCTGTAAGAACCTCAAGTATGTAGGATAATTCTAGAGATTTTTCGAATACGTTGTAAAGTAGTCTGATCAAGTCCAAGTCCAAGGCCACAGGCTCTGAGTGCCGAAGCCAGCCTGGGAGCTTTCTGATCTTCCAACCAAGAAGGAAAATTTCTCCCTCTTCTTGAACCCCATAATTCTTCTGCCATTGAACGTTAGGTGGAGGTTCCTACAATCAACCATCTACCGAAAGCTCAACCACAGTGTATTCCAAACTTAAACCGTGGGCGACCACTCTGAAACATGGAGAATAATTCAGCATGCACTTCAACTGCCTGTTGCTTCTGTTCACATGAGCAGCTTTGAAAAGTTGCCGTGGACTATTGGAGCAGTTGTTGAGCAGCCGACGTGATGACAAGCGTGACAAGGATGATTCCCTCATAAAAGCTGCTCGACTGCATCTCTGTACTGTGAGTTGCGCAAGCAAGCATAAACAAAGGAGACAAAAAAGAGAATTGTTTGAAAGCATCCCACGAAACATTGATTAACCCTGCGAACTCTCCTCTGAGTTTGAGATTCCTCATGACTAAACCCAGTGGCTCTTAAAACCCCATCCGGCGCGACTCTCCGCAGTTTTTGTGCCCGATGAATGAGGATCAGAAACATGGGTCGTCGTCGAATTATCGTGCCCGCCTCGACGTGCAAAGTAGGAATCCTCGACTTCGCAAACCCTAATCCCACATCGCACTTCCAAGACCATGTGGATGGCTTTCATCCTTTTAGATTGCTTTCAGGTCGAATTCAAATACGTGAAAGTGTGTTTGTAAGATTTATGCTTCTGGGGAATGAAAACCTTCTGGGGAATGAAAATATACACACATACATGACAAGCACTTATCATGTATGTATGTATGTATATATATATATATATATATATATATCAATGAAAATACAGCAATAAATAGTTTCAATATTTCAAATGATAAGTGCTTATTAAAAGAGTAACAAAAAATTATGGTACTAAACAATATTGGTATTCCGTGAGATTTTTTTAACATGCATACATAGATGTTATCAAACTGATCATTCCATTGAAAAAATGTTTTTTTATGAATATTTAAGTGCACCAAAATTTAGAACTTGTATATGTAGGCATTTTAGTTTGTAGTTTGTTGTCCTTGTTGATCCCTTTATTTGTATAAAAAATGTTTAATCTATTGAAAATTGTTAGTTTTGAGAGAAAAAAAAAAAAAAAACAAAAAACACATTGAGTCATATGAAAATTTCAAAACATTTTTAAACGCCAAATACTTACAAATTTTTAAAATAGTACAAATCAGGTAAGGAGAAAACTATTTTTATTTATGAGCATTCATTTCTTATACTGTTATTATAGTTTGATTTACTTATTCTAATTTGTAATGTTTTTAATCTGTTTTTCTCTGAGAATATGCATCAATTAGTCTCCCAAAAAACAAAATATTGTCCATACTTATGAAATTCATGACATAATTAAGATTGCTTATTTTATTTGCAATTAAGAGGCATTATTGATTGATATAAATGTGTGGTATTTTATTACAAATTTGTGCAATATTAAACATAGAATATTAGTAATGCCACCACAATTTGTCACTTATTCAACATATGTTTTTAGTTTTTTTTTGTTTATATTTTTAAAAATACAATAAAAATATATTAATTTTAATTTTAATAAATTTTTTTTTGAAAAACCAATAAGAATAAGTTGTGGTGGGAGTAGCAAAAACTATGGTGACGTGTAATAGATGACAAATTGTGGTGGCATAAGCAACACCCTGAGTATATAGATTATAAGTTTTTTATTTTATTACTTAGATTGTAGGTATATATATATATATATATATATATATAAATTGGGGGTTTTGGCCCATCCTTTTAGCATGCCTTTTTTATATTACATTTATACATACAAGCATACATATCTGTTAAATTATAAGTATCACTCCTGAATATGATAATGGTAGCATGTAAGTACTTAAAATGTTTAAAGATATATGTTACTCCCTCTTGATTTGCTACATGAGTTGTTAATATATTGGTTTGCTAGAAGTTGGAAACAACTTTTGCTTCAACCACAATTTAATGATTAAAATTGCTCTTCTGAGCACAGGTATATTGTTCAATTAACTTCCTCAATGTTTAAAAATATATCAAGAGTAATAACAAAAAGAATGGAAGGGGGGGGGTGGGAGTATGTGCATGCCCATGTCATTAGCATGATGTAATAACAATGAATGGAAGAGGGTTGTCAAGCAAAGACATGGTCACACCATAGCAATGATTTATTCTCATTATTATGGGCTAGAACTATTTGTCGAAATTATTAATGCATTGGATTATTGAAGTGTGAAGCCTGAAAAGAAGGGTGAAATATTAGATACAAGCTGTTGGCACATGAGCAGCAGCAACCAAAGTAGATTCAGCCTCCCAATTATGAAATTATGATTGTCAAAAAATAAATTTGCACATATATACATATATATATATATATATACTCATTAATATAATTAAAGGTACATGCATGATCTCACCCCACATACATGTACATATATTTGTGGTTATGAAAGGTTCCATTGTTGTTTATATATACATGAACATGTGTGCACACACATATATATACACATGCACACTATCACACACACACCCATTAGTGATTCATTCATTACACAATCTCTTGTTAGTGCACAAACATAAGTGGCAGATGAGAATCTCCAGGCTTCATGAAAAAGAACACTCATGACTGTCCACAAGTATACCCTTGATTATCTCACATGTCTCCAACAACAAAGGACAAAAAATGCTGTTACATTAAATGGGATATAACAGGAAATGGGGGCTCTAGTAAAATACACACACAACTATTCACTCATTCTGCCAGCCATTCATGTAATCCACCTCTATTTATCCACTGTGCCCAACTCTGCCACATCCACCATTTGACCTGGCATTCTTTCATGTGTAGAAATGAAAAGAAGAAAAAAATTAATTTTCTTTTCTTTAATACAAAAAGGGCCTCAGATTAGGGCTGATGTGGACAGGGCATGCATGATTGATTGTGTGTGCACTCACTCACTCACACACACACACACACACACAGTGAGTGAGTTGGTGCACGATAATTGTTTGTGGGCTGCGTGCATTTGGTGTTTGAAACTTGCTAAAGCTGTTTGAAGACACACTTTAGCATCAAGGCTTCTCTATAATTGAACTCTGTGCATGGCTAATCCAAGATAATAATCTCATCCCTTTTCTTATCCACCATCCACTTCCTGTCTATTGTTCTGTGTGTTTTTCTTTTTCTTTTCTTTTGTTTTGTAGATTTTATGCACTTTTATTGGTTGGCACACAGTTTAATTTGGCATCCTTTAGGCTCTCAGGATAGTAGCTGTCCAGACCTTCTTTGTATAGAGATCCATATGGCTCCCTGTATCTTTTTATTCTTTATTTTATTTTGTTTTATTCATAAATTTGTTTATTTTGTGCTTGGCTTGGCAGGAAACATACACTGAGCTGGGCAGGGAAGCATATTCCGAGTGAGGAAAAGTTCTTCTCTCTCTATGTGTCATAGAGAGAGAGAGAGAGAGAGAGAGAGGTAGTTCCATTCAATCAGTTTCCGCAGACTGTGGATCCCACTTGATTGATTGAATGAAACAAAGGAGGAGCCCCACCATGCCACCCCAATCATGCACATGCTTTAAGCCATGATGATCATTCTGCTAACAAACAAACTAAAAACAAAACAAAACAAAACAGAATCCACTGCCATACAACAAATGCCACACAGAATAGAGTTTCATTCGTTCATGCATTCATTCCCTCAGTCACTTATTAGTTGTTCATGCATTTGTTTGTTTGTTTGTTTGTTTGTTTGTTTGTTCATTGCATTATTTTTATGCTTCCGTCCATCAATTAGGGCACCCACATGGGATGATATATCAGTTTATGGGCAAGGGGCTGCATATGGATCTTTCCTTGAATAATAATGCATTATTATTGGGAAGCATTCCCCCTCCTCTCTCTCGACTGAATATGGATCTTTCCTTGTCTCTTTGTCTTCTAAGCAAGTAGGTGAAAGAAGAAGGGTAATCATATATATATATATATATATATATAGAGAGAGAGAGAGAGAGAGAGAGAGAGAAGAATGTGTTGAAAAGCTTAAAGTGTGAAACGAATAAATTCCATATTGATCTAACTTCCATCTAATGTATGGAATTTTTAGGTAATAAGAATGTGCATCATTGGATGGTATATTTGCATTATTGGAAGATTTTTGAGGTGCTTAGAATAGGCATGTTGACGACCATTGAAGCCACAAAAAGAAAAAAAAGAAAAAAAGAAAAAAAAAAGGAATAGAAAAAAGTTTAACTTGCGATTGTCAAAGTGCATGACTTTGTTTTAGCTGTACACAGAATACTGCTTTTTCTTTTTCTTTTTTTTTTTTTTTCTTTTTTTTTTTTGAAAACCATACATTTGGGTTTGAGAAGTGTTGTGAGTAATGGTTTTAGTTCTTTACTTTTTTAAAGGATTTTAAAAACCGAAAATTTATTATGTATAAGAAATTATTTTAAATAAAGTTGTACATTCTATTTGAAATTTGAATGTGTGTTATTAGATATGTGGGACTAAACACAATTTTTGTTAAAAAAATTAATTACTTTATTATATTTATATATCTACACACTTATTCTCCAAAGCTATTTATTCTCCTAATCTGCATGATTGTTGTAAAATATTAAATTAGTATATATGTATGTGTATATATATATATATATATATATATACATATTGACTGACAGACATTTACATTTGCATTATGGCAATAAAACAAAATGCAATCGAAATTAACGATGAAAGAATGCAACCAATACAGTCCAACTTTCCATCAGAAATGTATACATATTTTGTTTGTCGGTAAAACCTTACTGACTAGCCTCACCGACAATTAATCAACAACTCGACCATCCTGAGGGTCACTGGACTCAAGCACCCATTTTACAGTGGTGCCATGCAGAAAAATTGATACACAGCACGATTCAGTGAGTAAGTAGACAACAACCCAATTCAACAGTTCAAATCTACTCAATCCAACTAAACTGCCTTTTTATGGCACTCAGGAAGCAAGGAATAACAGCAACAACTGCAACAATTTCTGTTGACACCGCTTCTAATCTGCAAAACTCTTAAACTCACTGTCTGTCCAGTTGAAACTGTTCTATCAACTTCCATCACGAATGCATTGAATAAATGATACTGTGCAACTCACAGAAACCTGACACCTCTCAACTGTTTATACGAACAATTTGATTGATTTAAAAGTATTTCTTTATCCGTATTTTTGTATTTTTGTTTTTCTTCTCTCTCTAATTGTAATTTCTAGCGATGACCTTCAGACAGGTTTCTAGCATTTGGTCTAATGTGAGAACAACCTGTCAGTCAACAAATGAAACCTTAACTTGCAATCCGACTTGTTCCGGACCTTTAGAATGTGCTTTACATTCCACAGTGAATCGACCTATTGTCATCATGCAGAATATAAGCTCCGATGTTGGGGAGAATTGAACTATGCACAACGTGTATGCCGTAACCTCTGATGCAATCCATGTGTTGAAGCTTCTGGAAGTTGATGACCAAAATACAGCTCAGAGACGTTCCGGAAGCAACGATCTAGTGCCTTGACTCTACTCAAACAGATGCATGGTTTCAGGATGTGGAAATAGCTGGTCACGCTGAAGATGAAGGCCAGGACCACGTCGATAAATGTCCATGTGTGCTCAATTTTAGCTACATCCCGTTTTAACAAGAATTGCGAATGATCGTCACACATCATATTTGACAAGAGCCAGTGCAAGGTTCAAATGTTGTATGCACAGAGAATGTAACGTACAGAAGACAATTTAAGTTCGTAGTTCTTGTGGTTTGCGACTTCACACAGTACGTAATCAAGTCGTCGTCTCCCAGCTACTCCAATCCCAATATCCAACCATGAGAGGCTCACCTTTAGGTAATTGGTGAACTAAGAATTTCTTAAGCACCAACCTGTGAACCTGCAAGGAATCTCAAACTCTTGATTCAACCCTAAAATAAACTAACCTATTTTGAAACTTCCAGTCATCTAACATGTGATTCGATGATGTGTATTACAAGCAGCGGTCGTTGTTCCACAATATTGCACATAAAGCACGCAGTCCTAACTAATGTATTCTGCTCTACGACAAAGTTCCACGCATAATGACCAACTAAGGGATACCACAAAGCTTACGTGTGAGAAACCTCATCATTTTTCCAGCAGGATCTAGATGACATCGACGTATAGACAAGCTGCTCGCGGAGCTTAATCGACACTGAAGAAGATTTTTCTTCCGAGGAGGTCTCATCCTTCTTCATAATTGGCTCCTCTTCTATGCTCCAGCACGTTTCTTCAAGAAACTCAATGTTGCACGTATTCTATGTTGAAAAAAATTCTTCTACAGAAGATACCAGGAGACAAAAGCAAGTCTGCGGAACTTCCACACCAGATGATTGGCAAACTTGCCGACATTTTCCTTGATGCCAGGCACACAAGGGAGAACTTTAGAGAGCTTCGTGAAAAAACTGGGGAAAAGAACCCCAAATTTTCCTTAATGTCGATTTTCATGGAAAGGATATGTATTCACGTGACTTATCCCTGGCAGCACAAGATAAACAATCGAGTAAGCCGAAGTATGTATGTGAGGTAGTAAATACTCCAACCCGTGCTATTTAAATTCAGGAAGGAAATGTAACATTTGGTCACCCGTTTCTGCAAAATTATAAACTGAATTATTTTTGAGCTTCTGTCTTTCACTCTGAACTTTCACATAATATAGATTAAATATGAAATCCAGAGCCCCTAAATGCGTTGACTACCAGCGAGCAATCATGTGATGTAACGTGAGAGAACAGACGCGTTGTAGACCAATTTCAATCCAATTAGCTCCTTCGGAGCCACAGGGAAGACAAGAATTGGGTAAGCTTTCAAATGAGATGCAATACGGCCCACTATACCACATTCACGCTCTCTTTCTGAAACGGACATGCGTAACATTGAGATTGTTAGAAATAAGCGAACTGTCCTCTTCGCTTGCTTTGTCATTAGTAGAACGATGACAACTCACATGTCACAGAGTTAGTCCAGGATACGAAGACAGTCATATTAGGATGAATAGCTAACCGCGCTGCTTAGACAATTAATAGCCACTACCTATTTGGTTTCGTGAGCAGTGTATATAAGCTTAATGCTTGGAGCTTATTGATCACCTTGAGTAGTAAAGCCCAATGCATTTAACATGGATAAAACGTCCTACTCTAAAAAACGCCAACATAAATGTGAAAGCACAAACCCTTATTCAGGATGCTCATCTCAGCACTTCCCTAAAATCTTCATAAACAATCAGCAACTTGTGAACGTCCTCCTCGTAATTCTGGACTGAAAGCCACACATAACGCACGAGTTACTGTGTCATTAAAGTCTCGCTTCAGCAAATAACTAAGCTTTGACGATTCTCTTAAACTCTACAGCCCAGTTTTGAATATCCTATGAAGCATGTGAGTTTTCACTATAATCTCACACTGCACACAATTGTATCTAAGCTCATGCAGACAAGGGTCATGTGACTCAGATCGTCAACGCTGCACAATGACCTTTGTTGGACACTAATGTGTCACCAGTTGAAAACAGACTACAGGATCAGAGGAACAATGGGCTTGCGGATGGAGATTGTGGACTTCACGAATAAACTTGCTCTCCATCAAGTCAACAGCGCAGCTCCAACTTTGACGATTGTCAAGAATCAATTCCTGCTCCATCTCGAGTTCATGATGAAATACTGAGTATTGCGTCAACTTCTTAATTATGAAATCTGCTGGTGAGAGTTGTGGGTAGTGTGAAGCCATTGGACTTATTAGAAAAGAGAAGAATTTTTTTGATTCCTTTGCAACCTTCATGGTTAGGACACTCGGCTCTCCTCACAGCGACCCGAGTTTCAATCCAGAGCAACAGCGCAACTGTTCCCTGCCACAAGCAACCTTAAAAAGAGCACATACTGATCTAGTGATTCAAATTATTTTAACTACATGACAGCTTCTAAATCACAGATCATGCAGACCAGTTGTTTAAAGTTCAAATATGGTCACAAATTCTACGAAAAAACTGAAAATTGAAACTTACTCCAACAGTGCAGTCAAATTCTGTCGAGTCAGAGCTAAGGCAATCCTCTTAGTTCTCTATCGAACCCCTGCCCAAACGGAAAAAACCTAAATGGGAATAAATTATCATCAGTTGTACCAAAAAATCCCACCGCAATCCAAACCGTGCGGATCTTAGTCATCTGAGTCCAGTAGGAAGCACGACCGAGGAATCTTCTGTTCATTGGCAAATAAAACTTTTTCTAATCTTTTTACCCAGACTTTGCACGCAAATCTTACACATAAACCCCTGCTTGACCTTTCCTGAATACAAAAAGAACGTCATCTCCAGAAATCCTCTCTTGGACTATGAGCGAATCAGGTGAGGAAAGTAGCAGAGAATCTTCGAGCACACATCAGAGTGCATACGGTGGCACTCTCTTCATGCGTGCTTCATGAACTAATTCCCAGAAAATTACTGAAGGGGCGTTATTCATGACTTCGCATTGGAAGTTTAAAATGCTTCCAAGGTATATACCTGGTGCTTTGGCGCAAATATCATAATGGTAGTTTGCTGGACAATGACTTGAAAGACTTACCTACCTCCTATAGATATTGAAATCATACACCTTCGTCTCGGTACCACAAAGAAAACGAATAGCCCTGAAGGGCTCGCCTGTCTGAGAATTCTGCATCTAGACTCATTCCTCATATCTTATAGCCATCTGAAGTGGCCGTTATAGTATGTGTCCAACGGTGATTTTGATTGTATCAAAAATATACACTATGTCGAAATCGTCGTTCACTGCAAACCAAGCCCTGGATTTTAAAAACAAGCATCGTGATTGACATTGTGACCCTATCTCAGAGCTCGAAGTCAGGTTGTAGGATAATACTCCGTTGAGGTGACAGCGACGGTAACGCTCTCTGCACTATGCGGATATTGAGGAGATTATTACAACTCCAGCTTTATGGTATTTGCGATCCTTCAGGTCGATGTACAATAGAGACTGAAGCCTAACAAACACAGAAGTTGTACCAATTGAGAAAGACAGACCAAATAGACGTCAAATTTGTTTAAACCACTAATACTAATACTAGCTTCAAGAAGACCGCCCTGATCACAAGAAATCCCAAGCATGACATCGAATGCATGCTCATGTTTATGGATCTCGCAAGAATGAGCACAACCTCAAAAGTACGAAAAACGAAGGGTAACGACGAGTGGCACATTGTCAGTAACGCTGAAGAGGGACTTCATAGGAGAAACCCAACTCTTACAACCCTGTGATAGTAGTGGCCACAATTGAGCATACTAGCAATAAAGTGTATAATGAAGAAGTGGACCCCAGAAGAACAGACGCTGAGATCAAGAGATTCTACTACCCAATGAGCGAGGATCACTACTGTGTGGTGGTGATGAGTTACGAACCCACGTCATGACAGATGTTAATCCTACTTCCTTGAATTTCTGTCATATTGTATTAATGAGAAGCTTGGCAATAGTGGAAAATCTGATATACTTAGAGCAATATACTTATACTTAAAATTACAGAATTTGTATATCAGAATTTTACAATCATTATTATTTGTTAAGAATTATTTAACATTGGTGGATTATCTTTTAAATGTATTTGGTAAATTTTAAAGTGTAGTCTTGTCAACGGTGTCGTATTACGTGTTGTCTTGCTTGGGAATGCACCGGGCACCTAGTTGTGGAAGGTGAGGTTGTGTTTTACAAACACCCAAGAAATCCTAATAGGTTTTATCCATATGAGAAGAATATAATCCAAATTCTGATTCAAAAGTGCTAAAAAACACTCTTCTTAGTAGCTTCAATTACACATAAATTTCAATTACCTTGTTACTTTCATATTTAAGCAATTTAAATTTTTCTTTTAAGCCCCAACTCTAATGAGTGAGCTTTGACAAGCTGTAACTTCTAATCTGACCATCCACTTGATGTGAAATTTTGCATGCAATTGTCAGTGTGAATCTTCTATATGCTTAGGAATTTTCAGCCCAATCCAACTTATAGATTGTGAAAAAACCTCCAAAAACTACATTGATGTCACTTGGCCACCAATTTGAAAGGTGAAGCAAAAGTTCCAACAGTGATTTTTCCTTCTTCAACTATTAACTTCAACTCAAAATTGGTACATAACTTGATCTTCAAGTCCTTCAATATTATGCCAAATTTCACCTTGATCCGTCTAGTAGATCTCTAAATATTATAGAAATCCTATCCAATTTCAAATTGCTAACTTTTGATATGTTCTTGTACCAAAATCCATATATCTCCTAATTGCACTATTGAATTACCACAAAATTTTACATACACTTAGAACACCTAATTATCCAAGCATTGTCAAAATTTGAACTATAGATGTGACACCAATTTTACGAACTAACTAAGAGTGCTAGTCCTAATTTCATTACATAAATCCCAAGTTACCAATACAAATCTTGACTTCCAATAACAATTGCTAACTCTTCCTAAATCCTACCATAACCAACCTTATGTTTCTAGAACAAGCTCTAATCTAGGTCTCAAATTCTAATCTTCGATCTTCAAATGCCCTTATTTTGTCCTAGGCAGTCATTTTAGTGGCCAAAAGACTGATTTCGACCCTGTCTCATAAATGGTTGATCCCAAGTATCAATCTAACCTATCCTAAGGATTTTTTAGCCCAATCCTACCCTCAACTTAATCTTAATATCAACTATACTAATTATTTATTTCTTCTAACCTGATTTAATCAATTTATGGTCTTTTTAAGGTAGTAAAAGAGTTTCTACAACTAGAAGATAAAATTACTAATTAACCTTCAACTTACTAACTATTAAGATAAGAAAATAACCTAAGAGGCTTTTATAAAAGCCATGTTTAGATACCTTGAATTATTATTGAACTAAGATAATTAGATATTAATTAGAAATTTAATTTTGATTATAATTTCATTATATAGTCATATTACATCACAACAACAGTTACTTTAAAGATGTGGTAGTGAAACACTTAACTTTTGTTTATTTATTTATATAAAATATTAAAAAACAATTTAATTTATAATAAGAATTATAACCTTAAATTAAAATTAATATATATAATTTTAACAATGATTGCAATCCACATATTTTTATTTATTATAAGAGAGTTATAAAACAAATAGGGTTAAAATATATTGATTTTTATAACTAAATTTGTAATTATTAGATATACCACCTAATAGTATTTTTGGAAATATATTTAAAAGTAAACTCAAAATTTAGCTTTTTGCCTTAAAGAGAGAAAATTTAATAATGCTAGAAGTTGTCTTCTAAACATTTAATGAATTAGCTTTCAAATTCTTTAATATAAATATTGATTCCAATTAGTGTAAATGAATATTAGTTACTTTCTTGAAAAAGTCACTATATCATTAACAAGATATAAAACATTAAATTCATAATTATATCTTATGATGCTTTCATAGAAGAAGATACATAGAAACATATCTTATATTAAGAAAATCACTAAATGTTATCTATCTATCTATCTATCTATCTATCTATCTATCTATCTATCTATCTATCTATCTACCTACTTAAGAAAAATTAACAAAGAATTATACCATCATCAAAGATGGCTCTATATTGCAACATTGAAGTAGCATAACACCTTTTAAAAATTAATATATTCTCTTTATATTTAAACAAAGTTGTCCAAATAAATATTAAATTGATACTTACACAATTAACATATAATAAGTTTTTTATTCTACTTTATTTTTAATTTTTAGATTTACTAAATTCACAAATTATAATTATTATAATTATAAAATTATTTTTAAATTAGAATTAATCAAATTTAATATTCTTTGAAATTTATTATCAAATTTAATCTATTTAATGTATTATTTTAATATTTCAATACTCTATAAAAACTATAAAATATTAAATAAAAATAATAAATATTAATATATATATATATATTATATTTATAATATTAATTCTTATTATATATTTAAATATAAATATAAACATCCATCCATACATACATACATATTTGCATACATCCATACATACACATATATTGCAAACACTTCAATCAACTTATTTAAGACTAAAAGCAGGAAATCATATTTGCCAAAAATTATACAACACACTATCTTATGTCAAGGACATGAATCACAAAGAACTAAAAGATCAATACACTATTGTGTTATTAAAAAAGAACTAAAAAATCAATAAATTCTTGTGTCACTCAAAAAATTACAAAATCACTCAAAGATGGTATAATATTAAACTCAAATGGCTATTGCTAAAGATAAGAAGACTAAATAATCTTGAAACAAAACTAAGCACTAGAAAGATGTTGACAAGAGTAAAGAAGGCTTCATTCTTGCCTCTATATATATTATCTAAGTAGGAGCTACATATTGACGTTCTATAGGACCTCCAAAACATATTCAATTTGCATGACATGTGTCTTATCTTGCAAAATAAGTTTCTTATATGTGCACCATATTATTTTCTTATATTACAAATTATCTATACATATAACACATTGCCAACTTCTTGGCTAAATTTCTAATCTTTCAATCAACTATAAATATATACAAAATCAAATACATATCTATAAAGCTTTTAAGAAGCTACATTATAAGATAATATCAAATCTATCTATATTTACCTTCTTTTTAGTATTTTTTATTTAGATAAATATATATGTTTATGATATTATCTTCTCTTTTAGAATTTAATTTTATATGGAATAGTCATCATATGTTGAAGAAGTCTAAGTTGGAGCAAATTATATTTTTTATATACTTTGATCTTTGTTTCTTTTAAAGGTGGTTCATAAGTCTTTTTAGCCATTAATAGTATTTCATATCAAGGTAGGAAGACCACCCTATTATTTAATCATTGTTGAAGCCTTCATAACTCTCTTCAAATAAAATATTTGAAATATTGTCAAAAGTCATTTCTACCTCCAATAAAATCACCAAAAATTGAGAGTTTCTTCCAAAATTGTGATATCAAATGTCATTCTTAAAGATCTTTATTTCTATTATGTCATCTTGAAGGCTATGACAATCTTAATGTTTTATTCAATAAATCAACAAATGATAGCTCTTGATTTGAATTTGTTGTTTTTGATTTTCCATCTTTTTAATGCTACAAATACGCAAATATTATAAAAAAATATAAAAGATAGAATGCTATCTTATATAGATCTTGTTTCTTTTATAGTAAAGATGTGTTATTTTTTATCTTGATTTTGATAGATGTCGTCAATGAAAAAAATCAATTTTATTTGCTTTATTTATAAGATTCTTTATTAATTCCATGTACATGCATTAATATCATATTTGTACTAATGAACAAGATATTTTAACCTATTTAAGTGCCACCTTGAGTTTAAGACTTCTTCCACCTCAAATTGTTGATTATTATTCACTTCTATAAGAAGAAGTGGCATTTGTCTTCTTTTCAAGATATTCATTGTCTTATATGATTCAAGTAAAGATATGTGGAATATGGCATTAAGAATAATTCTTCTAAGATGTATCTACAAATATACTATTATTTCGATTTAGATATATTTTTAAGTACTCATAAGCACTTTTATGTTTCAAAAACTACACATTACGGCTCTTGATAATTTTCTTGGTTTCTAGACACATTAACCTATATATCTTGGTATCTTCATAATATCCAAAAAATACTTATTTTGTACCTTTTGCATTAAGTTTGAACCTCATATAATTAGATATCTTTGCATAAGCAATGCATTTAAATATCTTCATATGTGAAACACAAAATTTCTTGCTACTCTAAGCTTCTTGTAGAATCATTGATGTGAGTGCACTTGTAAGACAACTATTTCTTATATATACTACTGTAATCATAGCTTTTGCCTAATATTCATGCCTAAGATTTTGTACATGAAATATATTCTTTTCCATTATTATAATAGTATAGTTTTTTCTTTTAATAGCTTTATTTTATTGTAGAGTATAAAGAATGGAGGTTTTTCTTACAATGCCTTGAATCTTTAAAAATTCATCAAAATACTTTGACATGTATTCACTACCATCATTAATATACACCATTTTGATCTTGCACTCATATTGCTTCTCCATAAGTGCCTTAAATTCCTTAAACCTTAGAAATCACTCATTCTTAGCTTTAAATATATAAATCTACATCTTTTTTAAAAAATCATCAATAAATGTGACAAAATACCTTCCTCCTCCAATTAATAGTGTCTTCATTGGTCTACAAATATCAAAATGCACAATTCCTAATAATTTGCTAAAATATGTTGCA